CCCCCAGCTAGCCCTCTGCGGCCGGGCCCCGGCACCAAGCGCCCTGCGGGGGAAAGGTCCAGGGCAGGAGCCCCCCCCGGGCCGAGACCGGGGCATCCCTGCGAACGGCCGCCCACCCTGCGGGGCTGCGCCTGCCACAGCGCCAGACAAAGCCAGGTCTTGCCGCAGTGCTGCCGAAGGGGGCAGGGGCGAAGCATGCCGCCAGGGGGTGGTGCAGACAGGGACCCCTTGTGCAGGCCGAGCCGGCGTGCTGGAAAGCCCCTCCGCCGGGCGTGCAGCCTTGAGCTAGGAGAGGGCGCACAACACAGGACAAACTTCTGTGGCACGCTTCCTTTTTTTGTTTTTTTTTTTAAACCGAAAGCCCTAAGTTAATGAGCAGGCCCCTGCACATCTGCGGATATCGGCTTTACATCATGGATGCGAATATCCACGGCTCGTTTTTGCAGATACGAATGCAGATGCAAAATGTGTACCTTGAACCCTGCAGATGTGCTGATATCTGCTTTACATCCATCAGCATCCGCATCTGGAGATGTCCATGTGGATATCTGCAACTCATTTTTGCAGATGGGGATACACATTTTGTATCTGCCCAAGGCTCTGGCCATGTGCAATGTACACGATTATTTGAATGAAATAGTTGTAATGTACTGAGTAGTGTGTAAGGTGTAGCAAGCACTGTGCTCTGCTAAATGCAGTCAGATCTACACCATGTTACAGGAGGCCCCTTCTTGATCCTCAGTAGTATGTGGAAAAGACCTGACATTCTGAAGGAATGAGTTCTAGTTCCCATATTTTGTTGTTGCTGGCAGCCCAAGAGTGTATTATAGGCAGCCATGCTTTCACTGTATCATATGGATACATTATAATGGGCTGCCTAGGGTGCCAAAGGAAATTAACTTGGATTGAAACATTTCCAAAATGATATCATTTGCTTTAATTCTTTATTCATTTCTCATTTTGTTTTTGCAGAAACTAAAGGGGAATGTCTTACTGCCTCAAGTCAGAAAGCCTTTTGGATACAGGCCCAATATATGTGCGTGAAAATGGGCACCTGTATATGGTAGATCAGGATTCTGGCACTGTAAATAATGCTATTCCAAAACCCAAGCGGTTTAGACTATTTTCTAAAGGATTCTCTGTGGAGCTTTGTATGAACAGAGAAGATGACAGTGCAAGGAAAGAGAGAACAGATCATTTCATCTTTACTTATACTAAGGAGGGGAATCTCCGATACTCAGCCAAGTCTCTCTTCGGCCTAGTGTTGGATTACATTTCTGACAATGTTGATCATATTGATTCATTGATTGGCTTTCCAGAGCAGATTGCTGAAAAGCTTTTTTCTGCTGCAGAAGCAAGGCAAAAGTTCACAGAACCAGTTATAGGACTCAGAGCATTACAAAAATTTACTGAGGCTTATGGAAGTCTGGTGCTTTGTTCATTATGTTTACAAAATAGGTAAGTGCATTCAGTAACATGAAACTTATGTTTGTTAATATTTATTTTTTAATTAAATATAAACATGTTATTGATTTGGATGATTGCTTATTGGAGTATTGCTTACTCCATTTGATAGCACATGTTTAATTTTTGCATCTGTAATGCAGAACTTAATATCTGCCAGTTAATCCTCTAAATCCACATGAACACATTCTGTAATCTGAATTGAAGGATAAAACCTGCAGCTTTATTTGTAGCATGCTAACACTTGGCTCTTGTATGGTGCTTTGAAACATAATCTTCACAACATGCCTACCTTGTTGTCTGCACTGTAGTTGTAGCCATGTCAGTCCCAGGATACTCAAGACAAGATGATGGGTGAGGCAGTATCTTTTATTGCATTTTCTGTTGGTGAGAGAGACAAGCTTGTCTTACTTACCTTCCTCATAGGAGTGTTAATAACTAAATTTTGTCTGAACTAATTAAACGATTTCGGCATTTACTTTGACTTGTATAGCCAGCAAAATTTTCTAGCACACAGTCCCACTGGGACATTCCATGTCTACTACCACATTTCTCATGTGAAGGATACAAGTACCCAAAGGCAGGGGGGAGAAGAGCATAGCTGTGTAATGTTATTACAGGTTTTGAAGTCAGAAGACCTCGTATTACATTTTATTAATTACTGTTTATGTCTATATGTGTTGCATGCCCTTCATATTGAACACACCTTGACCAAGGACATTCTGCGTCTTCCCCTCTTTGATCAAGTTC